GCTGTGTGAGGGTGATTTTTCATCCATGAAGGTTTGCACTTCAAGCCACTTTGCACAGATTTCCTTAATCTTGTAGTAGGCAACTTCTTCAATTTCTCTCTCCCCTCCTCTGAACCAGTTTCCTCATGGTCTGGCCTCTTGCTCTTGAAGTTGATCTATCAGCTCATCAGTGGTTAGTTCTTCATTGTCCTCCTCCACCAACTCTTCCACATCATCCCCACTAACCTCCAACCCTAAGGACTTTCCCAATGCCACAATGGATTCCTCAACTGGCATAATCCTCTCAGGGTTAGCCTCAAACCCTTCAAAATCCCTTTTGTCTACACATTCTGGCCACAGTTTCTTCCAAGCAGAGTTCAAGGTCTTCTTAGTCACTCCCTCCCAAGCCTTACCTATAAGGTTTACACAATTGAGGATATTAAAGTGATCTCTCCAAAAGTCTCTTAGAGTCAGTTGAGTTTCTGAGGTCACTACAAAGCACCTTTCAAACAGAGCTTTTGTGTACAGTTTTTTTGAAGTTTGCAATAACCTGCTGGTCCATGGGCTGCAGGAGAGGAGTGGTATTAGGAGGCAAAAACTTCACCTTAATGAATTTCATGTCCCATAAAGTCGCTCTGCCACGTCTGTAGGATGACCAGGGGCATTGTCTAACACCAGGAGGCACTTAAGTTCTAATTTCTTTTCAGTTAGGTAATCTTTCACATTGGGGGCAAATGCATGGTGTAACCAGTCATAGAAAAAAGTCCCTAGTGACCCATGCCTTACTGTTTGCCCTCCACAGCACACACAAATTCTCCTTGAGGACATTCTTTTGCCTGAACGGTCTGGGTTTTCAGAGTGATACACTAATAAAGGCTTCACTTTGCAATCACCAGTAGCATTGGAACACATCAACAAAGTAAGCCTGTCTTTCATAGGCTTATGTCCTGGGAGTGCCTTTCCTCCTCCTGAGTAATGTAGGTTCCTGCTTGGCATTTTCTTCCAAAACAGGCCTGTTTCATCACAATAAACACTTGTTCAGGTTTCAGTCCTTCACTTTCTATGTACTCCTTGAATTCCTGCACATATTTTTCAGCTGCTTTGTGGTCCGAACTGGCAGCCTCACCATGCCTTATCACACTATGTATGCCACTACGCTTCTTAAATCTCTCAAAACCAACTTTGCTGGCCTTAAATTCACTCACATCATCACTAGTTGCAGGCATTTTTTTAATTAAATCCTCATGCAACTTCCTAGCCTTTTCGCTTATGATCGCTTGAGAGACACTATCTCCTGCTAGCTGTTTTTCATTTATCCACACCAATAAGTCTCTCTCAACATCTTCCATCACTTGCGATCTCTGTTTCGAAAACACAGTTAAACCTTTGGCAAGAACAGCTTCCTTGATTGCCTTTCTGTTGCCACAATAGTAGAGATGGTTGATTTGGGTTTCTTGTACAACCTGACCAGGTCGGCGACACGCACTCCACTTTCATACTTATCAATGATCTCTTTCTTCATCTCTATTGGAATTCTCACCCTTATTGCTGTAGGGTTGGAACTAGAAGCTTTCTTGGGGCCCATGGTCACTTATTTTCCAGATAAAGCACCGAAAACACTGTAATAATACGAAATATTCCGATTGTATGCTTGGATGTTACCGCGGAGGCTGGCTGGTAAACAATGCCACCGGCGGAACATATGAGGCTGGTTCAGGCCGCACATTGGACGCGTCTCGGACGAAGGGCGGTGAGCGGGTTTTTGGGCGGTATGCGAGGCAAAATTTTAGCGATCAAAGCGTCCAGTATGCGGATTGTACGGTATGCGATGCGTACGGTATGCGGGGGTCCACTGTATATGCTTGTACATGTATGTGTAGTGTGACCTAAGTGTAAGTAGAAGTAGCAAGACGTACCTGAAACCTTGCGTGTTTGCGAGACAAAAAAATGGACACCAGCAATCCTACCACCATGTAAAATAATTACAGGCTTTCGTTTTACACTCACTTGGCAGGACGGTAGTACCTCCCTGGGCGGTTGCTGTCTACCTACCTACTACCTAGGTTATTTATCCATGTTTTTCTTAATATATGTATTACATATTACCAAACCCCTTTCTATACAAAGTTCAATCAGAGACCCCTGTTAACATTTATACTTAGCACCCCAAACTTACCTACCACACCATCTATAACCATTTCCCTCACTTTAGCATTCATGTCCCCCCCCCCCCCACAACTACTCTCAGTTGGTTCAAAACTTCTGAAACACTCGCTTAACATCTCCCAAAATCAAACAATCAATCAATCACACACACACACACACACACACACACACACACACACACACACACACACACACACACACACACACAAAACACACACTCACAAACGCACACTCACAAAACACACTCACAAAACACTCACTCACACACTCACTCACTTATTCACTCACTTATTCACTCACTCATACACTCACTCACACACACACACGCACGCACACACGCACGCACACACACACGACACACGCACGCACACACACACGCACACATACACACACACACACAATCAGTGAAGAGGCAGGGCCAGGAGCTATGACTCGACCCCTGCAACCACAAATACGTGAGTACACACTCACACACTCACTCGCACTCACTCGCACTCACTCACACTCTCACTCACACTCTCACTCACACTCTCACTCACACTCTCACTCACACTCTCACTCACTCACACTCACTCACTCACACTCACTCACTCACACTCACACTCACTCACACTCACACTCTCTCTCTCCTGTACACTTATCTCTTCTCCAGGTGCATAAACACTTATTATAACCCACTTTTTGCATCCGATCCTTATTTTGATTCACACAATCCTTTAATTTATGCATTCATATTCCCTCTTCTAGTTCCATAGTTGATCCTTCAACATTACTGCTACCCTTTCCTTAGCTCTAACTCTATTAGATACTCCTGACCTAATCCCATTTATTTCTCCCCACTGAAACTCCCCTGCCCCCTTCAGCTTTGTTTCACTTAATGCATTTGATTGTCAGAGCAAAGACAAAATAAAAAAATATGGGATGCAGTATCAGCTGGGAGACTCAGTCCATGTGACACATCATAATAATAAAAGACACATTTCCTTACTAAATTGTACTGAACAAATAGGAACTCTCCACACCTACAGTATACCAAATAAACTTATAACAAAAAATATATGTATTAGATAAAGTGAAAGCTTAAGAAACTATTAATACAAAAATACAGAAGGCATCATCAGCTGGGCCACTCAACAAGTGAATACTGTGATAATATAAGCGACATTTCCTAACCAAATTGTATCAAACAAAAAGGAACTCACCACTTATACCAAACAAATTTCTATTCTATTCTCCAAATTCTCTGCAAGACATTCACACCAGACAATTGATCTCACATGTGACTTCTCTGCTGCCTCTAACCGCTGCCCCCTCCTCCTCACTGCAGAATTGAAAACCAATGTCTCACACCTGTGACATGTTGACACCACTATACTCTGGTACATTTGCTTTTTTGTAAATGGTCCAAGTCAGACCAAAACATTGTCTTTTCCTCCTCTCTCCTATGTGCTGGTTATTTGTGAATCCATTCTATGATTCACCTCGTCTTTCATATACCCATCTGCTGACACATCCGCTCCCAAATATCTAAATATATTCGTGTCCTCCATAGTCCTACCTCCAATCTGATATTTATCTATCATTACAAATATTTTGTTACCCTCATTACCTTGCTCTTCTCTCTACACTAAACACCTTGCTCTTAATTTTCAAATTTAATTTACTTCTTTTACATACCCTCCTAAGCTTGCCCACCAACCTTTGCAACCTGTCTTTAGAATCCCCCAAAAGATCTGTGGCATCAGTAAAAAGCAACTGTGATAACTCCCACCATGTATAAGATACAACATCTTTTAATCCCACAGTGCCTACACCCTGAAGTAGGGGTGGGGACATTGCAGTTTGGATGGCCATCTGAACTGTGATGTCAGCACACTTTTGGCAAGACAGTGATTGAATGAGTGACAGTAAAAGAGTTTCCTTGTTTTCAGGTTACCTTACCTCTGTACGAGAGGGCTGGTGTGTTAAAAAAAAAAAAAATCTCCCAACAACCTAGCAATCACTTTTTTTACAACCCTATCATAATATTAAAACAACATGGCGACATCACACATGCCTGTCTAAGTCCTACTTTCAGTGGGAAACAGTCCCCTTCCCTCCTACATACCCTAACCTGAGCCCATCACTCTGCATTTGCAAAATCTGCCACATGGCTTCCCTATTTACTCTATAAACCATACCCCAGCCGAGATTGAACCCGCGGTCAGAGAGTCTCGTTTACATCCTGTAATTGCTTTACACAATAGTAGGATTGCTTGTGTTCTTTTTCAGTCTCATAAACATGCAAGATTTCAGGTACATCTTGCTACATCTACTTACACTTAGGTCACACTACACATGCATGTTTTTTTTTTTTTTTTCAACAAGTTGGCCGTCTCCCACCGAGGCATGTACAAGTATATATATATATACACCCCTCTGCACCATTTATAACTTTTCTGGTATATTTTTAAATGTTTATACAATAGTGTACTGTATTTTGTAATACACAAAATAGAGGACATCAGCTCTAATATACATTATTGAGGTATGCATACTGGTCAGAGAGCCTGGCATAAGTCCGAGTCGTCAGTAAACGAGTACGTCGCTAAGCGAGGAGAGGCTGTATTACTAAATTTAAAGAGAGAAATTTTCGTTTTTCTTTTTGGGCCACCCTGCCTCGGTGGGATACGGCCAGTTTGCTGAAAGAAGAATTTCATACATGAGTAAATGATAAATGTGGCTTAAATTATTCAGATCACCTTGCCTTGGTGGAAAATGGCTGAAATCTTAAAATTCATATATAGTATGACAGATATTGTAGCTATAACCAGGAGGGAGGAAAGTTTAATAAGAATATTAGAAGACATTCCTACCTGCATTACGAAGACTTCTGTCCATCGGATAAGATGAGCATTACTGACATAATCAGTACCTGAGTGAATCTTTACCGATGGAATCCCATCCATCTGTTTCTCATCAACTGGGCTTTTAATGCTGAAATATTAAGATCTTGTTTAAAACAATCACAACTTCGAGAAAAAGAATTTTTACAAACCATGAGATTTATGGAATTTACTATGGTTCTCTCTACATCTTAAACATCTGAAGAAATCTCCTCTATTATTTTACATAATTACACCTACCATCTGACTTATGACCTGCTCAACTTACGGCCACTCGACTTACGATCGTGTTTTTTTATGCCAAATTTCTGGGAAATAAACAACTATTTGTGTTGTACACAGTGTTTATCCTAAGCCTTACAGTATAAAATACAGTACTAACAACATAAAAAGTAAAGTAAAACATGAAATACCAAAATAAAACAATAAAATAAAGTCATTACAAAAATGTTTTGTTGATATTCAGTAGTAAAGTTCGACTTACGACCATTTCGACTTACGACCGGTTTCTCGGAACCGAACTCGGTCGTAAGTCGGATGGTAGGTGTATATTGCTATCTTCAAATTAATTTAAGAAACAGCATTTCATATCCAAGAAAGTATGCTATTCAAGGTTTCAAGAATTCCCCTTTAATTTTACATGAGCATATCTGCCTTTCACAATAGAAACCTTCGATAAACTGAGCTTGATTGAGAATTCATCACAGTATATCATAGTTTAAATTACTCTTGTTATTAATTTCTGCATGCATTTAATAAAAAAGAAACTTAAAATATGTACAGTAACATGAAATACATTCTTAAAGTCCTCCAGATGCTTGGACATGCAGCAGATATGTGTGAGCATGATAGATAAGAGTGAATGGAGACCAATGGTTTTCAGGACCTATCGAGTTGTTGGAGTGTGAGCAGGGTAATATTTTGTGAAGGGATTCAGGGAATTTTTTATCGATTATCCAGACTGGAGTCCTGGAGGTGGGAAATACAATGCCTGCACTTTAAAGGAGAGATTTAGGATATGTGCTGTTTAGACTGACATCTAAACTGATGTATCTGAGTGTGTCTGCAAAGACAGTGATAGTGTGAATGATGGTGAAAGTGATTTCTTTCTTTTTGGGTCACCCTGTCTTGGTGGGAGATGGCCAGCACGTTAAAAAAAAAAAAAATTATATATATATATATATATATATATATATATATATTATATATATATATATATATATATATATATATATTATATATATATATATATATATATATATATAATATATATATATATATATATATATATATATATATATATATATATATATATATATATATATATATATATATATATATATATATATATATATATATATATATATATATATTTATATATATATATATATATATATATAATATATATATATATATATATATATATATATATATTATATATATATATATATATATATTTATATATATATATATATATATATATATATATTATATATATATATATATATATAATATATATATTATATATATATATATATATATATATGGATTCAGGGAAACCGGTTATTTTCATATAGTCGGACTTGAGTCCTGGAAATGGGAAGTACAATGCCTGCACTTTAAAGGAGGGGTTTTGGGATATTGGCAGTTTGGAGGGATATGTTGTGTATCTCTATACGTATATGCTTCTAAGCTGTTGTATTCTGAGCACCTCTGCAAAAGCAGTGATAATGTGTGAGTGTGGTGAAAGTGTTGAATGATGATGAAAGTATTTTCTTTTTGGGGATTTTCTTTCTTTTTTTTGGGTCACCCAGCCTCGGTGGGAGACGACCGACTTGTTGAAAAAAAAATATATATATATATATACACATATATACATTTTTTTAACACATCAGTCGTTTCCCACCGAGGCAGGGTGACACAAAAAGAGAGAAAAACCCAAAAAGAAAGAAAAATATTTTCATAATCATCAACACTTTCATCATCATTCATACATAATCACTGTCTTTGCAGAGGTGATAAGATACAACAGTTTAGAAGTCCCTCCAAACTGCCAATATCCCAAACCCCTCCTTTAAAGGGCAGGCATTGTACTTCCCATTTCCAGGACTCAAGTCCGGCTAATTGGTTTCCCTGAATCCCTTCACAAAATATTACCCTGCTCCCATGTCACCTGGCAGGAGCCAGGTGACATGATGAGATCGCATAGCAATAGTAAAACTAAAAAAAAAAAAACATAGCTTGAACAATACACAAATAATCTGTATTTAGGAGAAGAGGGATTACCAAGAGACCCCTGGCTGTTGTAAAGAGGGAGCAGGACTATGCAAATAAAGTCAGTACCTGACCAGCCGGGCTGTGGTTCGTCTGTTGTTTTGAATGCGGCTGGCAGTAACAGCCTGGTTGATCAGGCCCTGATCCATTATGAGGCCTGGTGATGAATCAGGCCACGGGGAAATTGACCACCGGAATACCCTCCAGGTATACTCCAGGAATCGGTCCATCCTAGACCATTGTTAAGTCACAATTGGAGTGACTTGACAATGGTCCAGGACAGACCAAACAGCATGTCAGATCATAAAAACCACTTGCCTCCACTACTATCTAACATGCACACACCCCCATACCAGATGTCTGAGCACTTCACGTACACTCCTTTACCCCTTCCCTCCAACCTTTCCTAGGACAACCCTCCCCCTCCTTCCCTCCACTATAGATTTATACACCCTCATAACCACAAAATAACTCATATCACCACTACTATTTTTATAAATTACATTTTTGGGGGAATTCTGAACAAAAGATATAGAACACAGTAAATATATTTAAAACTCACCCAACATTAAAATTTTTGTCATCACTAGTCCACTTGATGATGACAACTTCATCAGGCTGGCTGGCAGAAACCGGACCACAGGGAATTACAAAGTCCTTCATGTTTTGCAATGCTTCTCTCAATTTAGTCATCATGTCTGATGGGATCTGTTCACATGGAAGAATATAAATATCAGAATATCTACAACTAAATGTGCTGGTGCCATGAGAAAAATAAAGAAAGTAGAATATGTACTACAGGTCCTCCATCACAAATCCGGCATCATTGGGACCTGTAGTGTGCTGGATTACTGAGTTTGCCGAATTACAGAGTGGTTAGGTTACCTGGACCTGGAGTTTACCTGGAGAGTGTTCCGGGGGTCAACGCCCCCGCGGCCCGGTCTGTGACCAGGCCTCCTGGTGGATCAGAGCCTGATCAACCAGGCTGTTACTGCTGGCTGCACGCAAACCCACGTACGAGCCACAGCCCGGCTGGTCAGGTACCGACTTTAGGTGCTTGTCCAGTGCCAGCTTGAAGACTGCCAGGGGTCTATTGGTAATCCCCCTTATGTATGCTGGGAGGCAGTTGAACAGTCTCGGTTCTCTGAACCATTCATCTACAATCCTGTCAGACACTGCAACTTCTTGGGATCTTAATACTTGGGAATTCTTCGCTTGCCTAACCCTTGGGCACGACCTACTTCCACATTGAACAAATGTGACACCACCTACATCTGCTGCACCTCTCCTGCCTACGGTTTATAAGCTGCTTCTCCGTCCATATGCCGTATTCTATTCAAGATTGATGGACTGACCACATCGACTCAAGGTTGAGGACCGATTACCTCATTCTCCTCCTGTTCAGGTTTCTCCTATGTATGGACTGATGAAGCCACTGTGTGGCGAAACGTTTCCCGAATAAAGATACCCAAGAGTTGAGTTGCACATGTGTCTAATTTATCAACGTGTCGGTTCTCTGAACCATTCATCTACAGTTCCAGAGCTAAGGGGAATGTCCTATGAAGAAAGGTTAAGGGAAATCGGTCTGACAACACTGGAGGACAGGAGGGTCAGGGGAGACATGATAACAATATACAAAATACTGCGTGGAATAGACAAGGTGGACAGACAGGTGTCCCGGTGGCCTGGTGGCTAAAGCTCCCGCTTCACACACGGAGGGCCCGGGTTCGATTCCCGGCGGGTGGAAACATTCGACACGTTTCCTTACACCTATTGTCCTGTTCACCTAGCAGCAAATAGGTACAGTCCTCGATGACGCACTGACTTTCTTGGGTTATCCTGGGTGGCTAACCCTCCGGGGTTAAAAATCCGAACGAAATCTTATCTTATCTTATCTTATCCAGAGATGGGACACAGAAACAAGGGGTCACAATTGGAAGCTGAAGACTCAGATGAGTCAAAGGGATGTTAGGAAGTATTTCTTCTGTCATAGAGTTGTTAGGAAGTGGAATAGCCTAGCAAATGATGTAATGGAGGCAGGAACTATACATAGTTTTAAGACGAGGTATGATAAAGCTCATGCAGCAGGGAGTTAGAATACACTTAACAAAATTAACCAACTTGACTTATACAGTTCACTGAACGTCGGTAAAAATTGAACATTTCCGCTACTTTGAGCTCAATTTCAAGGTACTTTTCGTTATGAAAGCAATCAAAATCATGTCTATTTCTGTAATATATCTTCCATTCTATCAAATGAGTCCAAAAAATGAGAATACAACCATAAAAACCATACGAAGATATACTGCAAAGGGGCGGCTAATGGCTGAGAAGTGAACTCCCTTATTTATCGTCCGTCTTTTTTATTTTTGTTGTACGTTAAGAAGCATCTTTCCATCATACATTGCCCAAGTTTCAATGAGATAGCCCAACAAACAACCAAGAAAAAAAATACTTACCAAAAATCATATATGGCAAACCCAAGCCAGGTACTGGAAATAAGTCACTTTGTCTGACTTTTCTGGGTTATCCTAGGTTCTCTATACATACACTGCTATGTATGATAATCTATGTAACTGTATTTGTGTATACCTGAATAAACTTATTTACTTCTAGTCTGTCAACTGAGTACAAGAAACTGCCCATTCACTTATTTCAACTACCCAATAAAGTGGTCAGAAATTGGCAATTTGGCCAATTTCACACAAATTTCAACAGATGCCAATTTCAAAATAGGGTCCAGAATAAACAATGCAGACATTCCTGGCACTAAAATAACATTTTCTCTGTTCATTAGTCACGGCTACAGGCCTCTCTTATATTACTCTTGCTTACCATTTGGAATTTTTATTCACAAAAAAAAAAAAAAAAAAAAAAATAGATTTACTGTTATGCAGACTACTGCATTATTGTAATACAGTGGGACCCTCGCCTAACGAACGCATCACATAATGTTAAATTCGCCTAACGATACATTTTAGCGCTAACATTTTGCCTCAGCTAACGCTAAAAAACTTGCCTAACGACATTCGTTCTAAGGTACCAATTAATATCGTTAGGTGAGGGTCCACTGTAATTGTATAAATAATGTCAATCCATTCTTGACTCTGTACTGGAATTTAGACTGGCAGGCGGACAGGTATTGGACGGTGATGTCATTTGTTTACTCTTGAGCTTTGCTAAAGAATAGAACATTTTCGCTACTGTGAGCGCAATTTCAAGGTACTTTTTGTCATGAAAGCAATCAAAATCATATCTATTTCTGTAATATATCTTTCATTCTATCAAATGAGACCGAAAAATGAGAATGCAGTATAACCATAACAACCATACAAAAATATACCGCTAAGCGGCCACTAACGGCTGAGAAGTGAACTCCGCTATTTAAGAACATAAGAACAAAGGAACACTGCAGCAGGCCTACTGGCCCATGTGAGGCAGGTCCAAGTCTCCTACCAGCTTAAGCCAATGCACCCAACCTAGTCAGGTCAGGTCACATTGACTTAAGGGAGGAACACGGCAACCGACCTGGTAGCACAAGCTATCAGGTCCAACTCACACCCACCCACATCCACTCATGTAATTATCCAACCTATTTTTAAAGCTACATAATGTTCTGGCCTCTATAACTGTACTTGGGAGTTTGTTCCACTCATCCACAACTCTATTACCAACTTAAAACCACTGCTGCGAGTCCTGTCTAGGCTAGATATTTTCAGCACACTATTTACATCCCCTTTACTTATTCCTGTCTCCCATTTATACACCTCAATCATATCCCCCCTAATTCTACATCTTTCTAGAGAGTGCAGATTCAGGGCCCTTAGTCTATCCTCATAGGGAAGGTTTCTGATACATGGGATCAACTTTGTCATCCTCCTTTGTACATTTTCCAGAGCATTTATATCCATTCTGTAATACAGTGACCAAAACTGTGCAGCATAATCTAAATGAGGCCTAACAAGGATGTATAGATTTGAAGAACAACCTGAGGACTCCTATTATTTATGCTTCTTGATATGAAGCCAAGGATTCTATTAGCTTTATTGCGAACACTTATGCACTGTTGTCTTGGTTTCAAATTACTGCTAACCAGAACTCCTAAATCTTTTTCGCAATCTGTAATATTAAGATCTACATTATTTAGTTTATATGTGGCATGGTTATTGTCCTATCCAACATTTAGAACTTTGCATTTGTCTATATTAAACTGCATCTGCCACTTCTCCGACCACTGCATCAGTCTATTCAAATCTTCCTGGAGTGCTCTAATGTCCTCATCAGAATGAATTCGACGGCCTATTTTGGTGTCATCGGCAAACTTGCTGATGTCACTCTTTATGCCCTCATCTATGTAGTTTATGTAGATTGTGAACAGCAGGGGGCCCAACATTGACCCCTGTGGAACACCGCTCGTGACGCTTCCCCACTCTGATTTCTCCCCATTTATGCAAACTCTCTGCTGCCTATTTGTCAACCATGCCTCTATCCAGGAAAAAATTTCTCCTCCTATTCCATGTGCCTTAATTTTCCTCAATAGTCTCTGATGTAGGACCCTGTCAAAAGCCTTGCTGAAGTCCATATACACAATATCATATTCATTACCATGATCTACCTCCTCAAATACCTTAGTGAAAAAAGTTAATAAATTTGTTAGGCAGGAACGCCCCTTTGTAAAACCATGCTGAGATTCGTTGATTAATTTATGCTTTTCAAGGTGGCTACGAACTGCCTCGGCAATTATTGATTCCATAAATTTTCCCACAATGGAGGTTAGGCTTATTGGTCTATAGTTCGAAGCTAAGGACCTGTCACCTGCTTTGAAAATAGGTATCACATTTGCCATTTTCCACTTATCTGGCACCATGCCAGTTTGTAGTGATATGTTGAAAAGATTAGCCAAAGGTTTGCTAAGCTCCGCTTTACATTCCTTTAGAACCCTTGCATACAGTTCATCAGGGCCTGGGGATTTGTTAGGTTTTAATTTATCTATTTGTCACTTGTGACCCTAATCGTGCACAGTTTATTATCGTCCTGTTCTACATAATTTATCATTTCTGGAATATCGCTGGTATCCTCCTGTGTAAAAACTGAGAGGAAGTATGTGTTAAAAATTCTACACATTTCCTTATCACTGTCAGTGAGCTGACCCGAGGAACTTTTGAGTGGGCCTATCTTGTCTCTGATCTTACTTCTGTATACCTGAAAGAATCCTTTTGGGTTAGTCTTCGATTCTCTTGCAACTTTAACCTCATAATCTCTCTTTGCTTTTCTAATTCCCTTTTTTATTTCTCTCTTTAACTGAACATATCGATTTCTTAATTGCTCCTCTCCTCTTTTGATTTGCCTATATATGCCTCTCTTTTGACCAATCAGATATTTTAATCTATTGTTCATCCATTTAGGATCATTTTTATTTGATCTGATTTCCCTATTTGGAACATAATTTGACTGAGCAGCTAGAACTATGCCCTGGAAAGCGTCATATCGGCAACCATCACCACCTACCTGACCCTTAGTCAGGTCATTCCAGTTCAGCCCACCTAAGTAATTTTTCAGTCCTATGAAATCAGCCAAGCGAAAGTCTGGGACGGAGACTTGATTGCCATTATTAGGGGAATTCCATGATATATTAAAACTGAGTGATTTGTGATCACTTTCCCCAAGCTCATCATTAACCTCAAGATTATTAATTAGTGTTTCCCTACTGGCAAGAACCAAGTCAAGGAGGTTATTTTCCCTAGTTGGCTCTGTCACAAACTGTTTTAAAAAACAATCCTGGATCGTATCAAGAAAGTCACCTGACTCTAAATTTCCTGTCAAACTGCTCCAGTCAATCTGTCTATAGTTGAAATCTCACATTAGCACAACATTTTCGTATGTAGATGCCTTATGAATTTCGTCCCATAGAAGTTTACTGCACTCCCTATCATTTTTGGTGTATGTGAAGAAGTATCTTTCCATCATACATTGCCCAAGTTTGAATAAGATAACCCAACAAACAACTGAGAAAATAATAAATAATAATAAATAATAATATAATAATAATAATAATAATAATATTATTCTTATACACACATACATGTACAAGGTATACAGGCCTAGCTGACATCAGTGACATACTACTGTATAGAAAGGCACTTGTTATGCTGAGTATTTCAAGAAAATTAGGTCAGTGTCCCAGGATAACACCCACACTAGTCGACTAACACCCAGGTACCCATTTACTGATGGGTAAACATAGACAACAGGTGTAAAGAAACACGCCTAATGTTTCTACCCTGGCTGGGAATCGAATATTTACCAAAAATCATATATGGCTAACCCAAGCCGGGTACTAAAAATAAGCCACGTTGACTTTTTTGGGGTTATCCTAGGTTCTCTACACATATGCTGCTATGTGTGATAATCTATAGAGAGAAAATAACTTTTTTGTTTCATGTTTATGGAGGAGTACGAGTGTATATCATAGTTAGCCCTGTGCTACACTCCGTTTTCTCTAATATAAGCCACCAAGACAAGGATAGAAGAATGGTATTTGTTTACCATATCCTCTTCATAACTCTGTCGAACTGCTCGGTGTTATGCCAAATATTATTCATTCTGGAGTATTTAACATGTTTTATGTTATTTATATTGTTTCTTATGTCATATTAGATCAATTGTGATAGGCAAATAAGCTGTAGTGTTGATATTTGCGTAATAATAAACCGTATTCTCCTGCTTCATGAGACTGAGCTCATGGCAACCGACAGTGGCTTCAAAGCCACCTTATCTTTAATGGATAATGTACTGTGTAGGTGCTTTACATAATGAGAAGCATTTCTTTTATTCATTGGAACCATGGCTAGGGCTAAAAGTAAGCAGTTTAAAACAATAAATGGAGAAAAAGAAATTGGAATGACTTATGCAGCAAGCAGCGCCACCAAACAGTACCAGCAGGTTGGTGTGGCGACCCTGGAAATTTGAAATTATGCTAGCCAAAATTAGTGCCGAATAACTGAAGGAACCAAATAACTGATTGCCGGATTCGTGATGGCGGACCTGTACTACAATTAAATAAACTGGCATCAACAGAAGAATAGAAGGAGCAGGACATATTAATTAATAAAACTAATATTTTAGAGGAGACTATATATTCGGAGTTGCTGAGTGTGGGGCAGAGGGGTCTCCAGTAGCAACAGCCTGGATGTCCAGGCAAGCACCAGACGAGCCTGGCCCATGGCCGGGCTCTGTGAGTAATAAGACTCTTGAAGCTTATCAAAGGTATATCAAAGGAGGTGATTGGGGCACATAAAGAGGGTTGAGCAAAACGGGATGACTAAGAGGGTATGTAAATCTGAAGTAGAGAGGAGGAGGAGGTTGGGTAAGGGTTTTGAGACAGGAGTGGAGGCAAGTGGTACTTATGACCTGATGTCTTGTTGCAGTGAGAGCATAGTAACATTTACAGAGATTTGGTAAAACCAGTTAGCTGGTAAAAGTGTTGGTACCACCATACTCTGGTGAAAGCGTTGGTACCACCATATTCTGGTAACAGTGCTGGTATCACCATACTGTGGTAACAGTGCTGGTACCACCATACTCTGGTAATGTTGGTACCACTATACCCTGGTAAGAGTGTTGGTACCACTATACTCTGGTAACAGTGTTGGTACCACTATACTCTGGTAACAGTGTTGGTACCACTATACTCTGGTAACAGTGTTGGTACCACTATACTCTGGCAACAGTGTTGATACCACTATACTCTGGTAACAGTATTGGTACCACCATATTCTGGTAACAGTATTGGTACCACCATACTCTGGTAACAGTATTGGTACTACCATACTCAGGTAGCAGTGCTGGTACTACCATACTCTGATACATTCTCTTTTTAGCTTCTAGAGATAAGCTTCAAAATACCATCTGCTTTTAACATCCTCCTCTATTCTATGATTCACCTCTTTTTTGACTGACCCTTCTTTTGACATGTCCACCCCCAAATAACCAAGGTAGGGTGACCCAAAGAAGACAACACATTCACCATCATTCATTCAACTGTTGTCTTGCCAGAAGTGTGCTGACAACATAACTCAAGATTACCCTCCAACTGCAGCACATTCTTTCAGTTAATTCACATTAGATCTTATGTATAATAAAAAAGAAACTAAGAGATTTTGATAGAAGAAAAAATAATATGAAAGGTAGCAAATATTACAAGATCCAAATTAATCCCAAATACTTCATCAAGTAGACAAAAAATTTTAAGAGCAAAACAGAGAAAAAAATGGGATAGCTCAAAAGAATGGAAAGAGAGAGAGAAAAACTGGAATAGATCAAAGGAATGGAGGACATGTATACGACAGTGCAATCTAAAAATTAAAAGCAAAAGAACACAACAAAATTAATTGCTATTTTAAAGCTGCCTGACAGAGAGTAAAGAGCACCAAGAAAAACTAGGCATTAAAGATTTACAAACACAAAGCAAAAAGATATTATTTAACCCTTTTAGGGTTGGTCCTGTAGTACTATGGCTTTGAAGCCCATGTTGGTCCAGTAATTCTATGCCGTGAGCTGAGCTTATTCAGTTAAGTTGCATGTAGTAAATTTGGGCCTAGATATGAGAGACTGGGTCTATGCGGTAAGTGTGCACCATATAAAAAAATTCTACAGTAAGCAATGTATAAGGGGAAAAAACTGCGACCATGTTTTGGTTTAAAACAGCAACTCTGTGGTGTATTTTCATACAGTTTTTACTGTTCAGTTCTTGTACTAATGTTGGTAGAATTGCCGACAATATGTTAAGTAAAAGGACACGAGTGCAACAAACGTTGCCACAATAAAATGTCACATTAGTTGCACTAGTGTCCTTTTACTTAACATAGTGTATTCTTGGTTTCTTGGTGTTATATGATAAAATGGAAGATATATTACAGAAATAGAGATGATTTTGATTGGTTTCAGGACTGAAAGTAGCTTGAAATTGAGCTCAAAGTAGCAGAAATGTTTGATTTTTGACAATATTCCAGAGTACATAAATTACATCACTTGTCCAATACGCATCCAACTGGTCAGTCTATTACGTGTCCACAAATGCGCTGACATTAGTTATACAATTTTTAGAATAATGCAGTAGCCTGCTTAACAGTAAATCTTATAATTCTTTGTGTGAACAAGAATTCAAAATGGAAAGCAAGCATAATGCAGGAAAGGCCTGAGAACATGACTAATAAACAGGAAATATTGTTTTAGTACCAGAAATGTCTACACTGTTTATTCTTGACATTATTTTGAAATTGGCAATTTTTGAATTTTGTGTGAAACTGGCCAAATTACTAATTTCTGATCATTTTATTGGGTAGCTGAATTAGGTAAATTAGCAGTTTCTTGTACTCAATCGACAGAATAGAAGGAATACTAGTAAAATAATTGAGTTTGGTCGACTGGAACTGGCTGAAAATAGGGCTCAAAGTGGGCAAAATCACTGATGTGTAAATATCTCTGAGACCACTAACTTGTGAGAACTTAATTCCATGAAATTTTGTACTTTTGGTTTTATTACCTTCAGCAAAAAGATTCTCTATCAATTCATAAGAAAAAAAAATATATATTTTTTTTTTAAATTCCCCAACGCTGAGACCAAGTTTGAGATCAGGGGTACTGACCCTCAGAGGGTTATCCAAGGCCCAAAATCTCAAAATACACACAACAGGTATATTTAACTACATCACAGGTCAAGGAAATAGCAAATACAGAGCATTTACAGAAATAAAGAATTTTGCTTCATCAAATATTTAACAGGAATATAAAAACAATACCTGAACCATAAGACCATCTTCTACAATGGAGGACTTTGCAGATAGACCAGAAGTTGTCTTCAGGGCACCATTAAAGACAATAAAACTTGCTCCCGTCACTGCAAATATAAATAAATAAATAAATAATCTTTCTACAAGTACATGATACAACTTATATAGACCATAGCTGACATCAATAGCATACTATATAGAAAGCCCCTGGTTATGCAGAGCATTCTGGGCAACTTAGGTTACTTCTGTCCCAGGCTGCAACCCACACCAATCTGCTAACACCTATGTACCTACTAACTACTAGGTGAACAGGGGGAGCAGGTGTCTTAACCCTTTCAGGGTCCGTCCGTAGATCTACGGCTTTATGTTCAGGGTCCAAACCGTAGATCTACGCCATGAGACTCAGCTCACTCTGATAAACTGTAAGTGGTACATTTGAGCCTAGATATGAGAGAATACATCTATGTGGTATGTGCGCACCACATAAAACAAATCCTGCAGCACACTGTGTAAAATGAGAGAAAAAAACTGAGACCATGATTTTCGATTAAAACAGCGACTTTGCAGTGTTTTTTCGTATGTTTTTTATAGTTGTACTTTGCGATTTCTTGGTCTCATTTGATAGAAATAGAGATGACTTTGATTGGTTTTAGCACTGGAAATGGCTTGAAATTGAGCTCAAAGTAGCAGAAATGTTAAATTTTTGCCGATGTTCAAGAGTAAACAAACGACCTCACACATCTAATACACGCCAGCTGGTGGGTCTAATATACATTCACAAATATGGTGATGATATTTATACAATTATTACAATATTGCATAACAGTAAATCTTCTATTTTTTGGTGTGAATAAAAATTCATTATGTGAATAAAAAATCAAAATGGAATTTATTTGTAAAGCCTAAAAATGTAACTAATGAACAGAGGAAATGTTAGTTTAGTGCCAGGAATACCTACATTGTTTATTCTGGACCTTATTTTGAAATTGGAATATTTTGAACTTTGTGTTAAATTGGCCAAATTACCAATTTCCGATCACTTTTTTTTGTAGTTGAAGCAGTTGACTTGGCGATTTCTTGTGCTCAATCGATAGAATAGAAGTAATACTAGTGAAATAGCTAAGAATTTGGTCGACTGGAATAAAGTAATTGGCCTAAAATGGGAGTCAAAGTCGGCAAAATCGCCGATTCGTAAATATCGCTGACACATCAAAATTCGCGAGAGCATAATTTCGTCAATTTTCCATCAAATTTCGTACTTTTTGTTTAATTACCTTCACAAAAAGATTCTCTACCATTTCATAAGAAAAAATAATTTTTTTTTTTTTTGAGAATTCTTGAACACTGGGGCACCACTTCAGATTTTGGCCTTGGACCCTGAAGGGGTTAAAGAACCACACCAACATTTTCACCCTTACCAGGGATTAAACCACCAACACTCAATATGTAAGCTGAGTGCACTACCAACTGAGCTACAAGACTCCCCAGAGGAATAGTAGAATCCCATGATGATGGGAAAAAAAAAAAAAAAAAAGGGAAGGGGGGGGGGGGTAATTCACATAATATCAGAAAATATTTGTTTATTTTTAATGGGAACAATATTCATGTTCAAACTCCTGGAGAAATATCAATCCAATACCACTCCAACAAAATTATCATAACAGTGTCCATTTCTTACTCCTTACCTTTTTCACTCAGATAATCATCAATAAACAATACAAGAAACTAAAATATGATTCCAAGATTATATTATAACTACTGTTAAAGTATGGTTAAATAAGTTAATAACAAAGAGGGTATGGGAATAGTGCAAGATATGGAAAGAAATAAGGGGTTGGGGGGGGGAAGGGTTATGAGAAAAAACCAGGAGGAGGAGGAGGGAGGAGCGGGAGGAGGAGGGAGGAGAGGAGGAGGAGGAGGAGGAGGAGGAGGAGGAGGGAGAGGAGGAGGAGGGAGGAGGGGGAGGAGGAGGGAGGAGGAGGAGGAGGGAGGAGGAGGAGGAGGAGGAGGAGGAGGAGGAGGAGAGGAGGAGAGGAGGAGGAGGAGGAGGAGGAGGAGGGAGGAGGAGGGAGGAGGAGGAGGAGGAGGAGGAGGAGGAGGGAGGAGGAGGGAGAGGAGGAGAGGAGGGAGGAGGAGGAGGAGGGAGGAGGAGGAGGGAGGAGGAGGAGGGAGGAGGAGGGAGGGGAGGAGGAGGAGGAGGAGGAGGGAGGAGGAGGGAGGAGGGAGGAGGGGAGGAGGGAGGAGGAGGAGGAGGGAGGAGGAGGGAGAGGAGGGAGGAGAGGAGGAGGAGGAGGAGGAGGGAGGAGGAGGAGGGGAGGAGGAGGAGGAGGAGGAGGGGGAGGAGGAGGGAGGAGGAGAGGAGGAGGAGGAGGAGGGAGGAGGAGGGAGGAGGAGGAGGAGGAGGAGGGAGAGGAGGAGGAGGGAGGAGGGAGAGGAGGAGGAGGAGGAGGAGGAGGAAGAGGAGGAGGAGGAGGAAGAGGAGGAGGAGGACTAGGAGGAGGAGGAGGAGGAGGGGAGAGAGGGAGGAGAGGAGGAGGAAGAGGAGGAGGAGGAGGAGGAGGAAGAGGAGGAGGAGGAGGAAGAGGGGGAGGGAGGAGGAGGAAGAGGGGAGGAGGAGGAGGGAGGAGGAGGAGGAGGAGGAGGAGGAGGAAGAGGAGGAGGAGGAGGAGGAGGAGGAGGAGGAGCTGCATTTGTTTTGCCAAGTAAAACTGGAGGATCATACAATTATTAACACTATAATAAAAGCAAAAAAACTGCTCACCTCTACGTGGCCGATTATGAATATTTATGGCCTGGGTGGAGTAGTGGCCATCATCATTCTCAATGGTAACCAAGTGGGAGTCAGCTTGGGGACTAAAGTTGGCCCCAAGGGCCAGAACGTGGTCATTACTATTGCTCAGGGCCTTCGTTACCTGATATACAATACACAAGAAGATAAGGAGGATGAAAACCAGTGGTAGTAAAAGTGATACACTCATTAAAAAATGTATATAGTAACTTTTGTAATTAAAAATATAAAATAAATCAATAAATAAATACTATTGTGCATCGAATATGCTATTTTGAGCATTAGCCCGGTACTTTAAAGGCAATGATGAAATGTCGTATTGAGAAAAATAGTGAGTGTACCTTACAGTATTTTGCCATCCTTGTGTCAAAAAATCCAACCACAATAATATAAAAAAGTATAACCAATTAGCTGACTTTCAGTGTTGTGGAATATGGCTCATCAAACACTATTACACATTCAACATTAACCAAAAATTTGGCAAAGAACATTAAATGAAGCTCTAGTCAATCCTGGACATTTACATATACAAAATACACACCCAAATCTAACAAAATAATTACCTGGAGATGAATTTTGAAACTTTTCCCCCTGTCCTGGTAGAAAAACTACAAGCAAGGGGCTTGGACATCTAACAGGCATGTGTGAGTATGTTGCATAGGAGTGGAGGCAAATGGGTTATTAGGACTTGATCAGCTGTTGGAGTGTAAGCAAGGTAACATTTATGAAGGGATTCAGGGAAACCAGTTAGCCAGCCATAAGTCCTAGAGGTGGAAAGTACAGTGGCTGAACACAAGAGGAAGAGTGATGATATCTGCAGACTGGAGGGGCATCTGAACTGTAGCATCAATGTACCTTTGGTAAGACAGTAATAGAGCAAATGATGGTGAATCAAGTCATTTGGTCACAAGAGATGGGACCAAGAGCCGGACTGGTGCTCATTTCCAATAACTCCAAGAGGTGGTTACAAGTAAGTACAGTAGAACCCCCGTATCCACAGATTCCGTTTCCATGGTTTCAGTTATTCATGGTTTACTGTAGCCCTCAAATAACCCCTAATTTTACTTAATAATGACACCGAAGTGCAAATGTAATGATACTCGCAGTTCTTCAAAGCCTAAGAGAAGCCGTGACATGCTTCCCATCAGTGTGCATATTGTGAATAATTTATCAATTAAAGTTTATCATAGGTATACTACAAGTAAACAAAACACAACTTAAAATAGGGTTCGCTACTATCAATGGTTTCAAGTATCCACGAAAGAACTTGGAACGTATCATCCGTGGATGCAGGGGGACCACTGTAATTACTGCAGACAAAAGAGCTGAAATAATAAATTTAACCCTTTCAGGGTCCGTCCCGTAGATCTACGGCTTTATGGTGAGTGTCCAAACCGTAGATCTACGCCATGAGCTCAGCTCACTCTGAAAACTGTGAGTGGTACATTTGGGCCTAGATATGAGAGAATACATCTATGTGGTATGTGTGCACCACATAAAACAGATCCTGCAGCACACTGTGTATAATGAGAGAAAAAAACTGAAATCATGATTTTTTGATTAAAACAGCAACTTTGCAGTGTTTTTTCGTATGTTTTTTATAGTTGTATTTGCGATTTCTTGGTCTCATTTGATAGAATGGAAGACATATTACAGAAATAGAGATGATTTTGATTGGTTTTAGCACTGGAAATGGCTTGAAACTGAGCTCAAAGTAGCGGAAATGTTAAATTTTTGCCGATATTCAAGAGTAAACAAACGACCTCACACGTCTAATACACGTCAGCTGGTGGGTCTAATATACATTCACAAATATGGTGATGATATTTATACAATTATTAACAGTATTGCATAGCAGTAAATCTTCTATTTTTTGGTGTGAATAAAAATTCATTATGTGAATAAAAAATCAAAATGGAATTTATTTGTAAAGCCTCAAAACATGACTAATGAACAGAGGAAATGTTAGTTTAGTGCCAGGAATGCCTACATTGTTTATTCTGGACCCTATTTTGAAATTGGAATATTTTGAACTTTGTGTTAAATTGGCCAAATTAACAATTTCCGATCACTTTATTTTGTAGTTGAAACAGTTGACTTGGCGATTTCTTGTGCTCAATCGATAGAATAGAAGTAATACTAGTAAAAATAGCAAAATTGGTTGTTTGGGAAAAATGAATTGGCCTAAAATAGGAGTCAAAGTCGCAAAATCGCCGATTCTAAAATCGCTGACACATCAAAATTCGCGAGGATAATTTCGTAATTTTTCCACCAAATTTGTCTTTTTGTTTTATTACCTTAAAAAAAAAGATTCTCTACGTTTTCATAAAAAAAATAAAAAATTTTTTTTTTTTTAAATTTTCTTGGAACTGGTTTGCGTGACCCGTTTTGGGGGCCTTGGACCCTGAAAGGGTTAAATGACTTCCTAAAAAACATTCAGAGTATATTTATTTCCCATTTTTTTTTTCAAAAAGCAGCCGTTCCCATGAGGCAGGGAAACCCAAAAAGAAAAAAAATTCCTCAAAAGAAAATATTTTCATTCATTCAAAACTTTCACCTCACCACACATAACAGTTTTTGCAGGGGCTCAGAAAAAACATTTTAGAAGCATAATTTAAAAAGATACAAACATACCCCCAAAAACTGCAAATATCCAAAACCCCTCCTTTAAGTGCAAGATTGTCTTCCCCATTTCCGGCCAAGTCCGGCTATATAAAAATAACCGGTTTTCCCTGATTTTTTTTTTTTTTTTTTTAAAACAAGTGGGGGCCTCCCCCACGGAGGGTGACCCAAAAAAAGAAGAAAATCCCCAAAAAGAAAAACTTTATATCATTAAACACTTTCCCACACCGCACTTATCACTGTTTTTGCAGAGGTGCTCAAATACAACGTCTGAAGCAAAAAACTAAAAAAAAAAAACATACCCTTACTAAAATTACCCTGCTCCACCCCAACAGATCGCAGGTCCAAGTACCATTCGCTCCATTATCCTTCAAAACCGCTCCGCACGCTTGCGGGAAAGCCCAACCCCCTTGCCAAAAAACCCCCCTTTCCCCCCTCTCCCCAAACCCCTTTCGGGGAAACCCCTACCCCCCCTTTCCCTTCCCCATAGATTTTATGCTTTCCATGTCATTCACTTTGATCCATTCTCTTAAATGCCCAAAAAAACCCCCTAACAACCCCTCTTTGCCCTCTGACAATACTTTTTTTAATCCACACCTTCTCCAAATTTCCCCCACACCCGAATTTTCGCAAAATATTTAAAACCACCATTCCCCTTAAACGGGACATCTCCACTGCCCCCAAACCGTTCCCGCTGCTGCATTTACCCCCCAAGCTTCCACCCATATAAAAGTGTTGTACTACTATACTTTCATACATTCCCTTTTTTGCCCCCAAGAAAAACGTTTTTTGACTCCACATTCCCCAAAAGCCCCACTACCTTTTTTCCCTTCAATTCAGTTTAAACCTCATCCTTAAAAATCCATTGCTGACAGTCCCCCCCCCAAGTTCTAAAAACATTCATTTCTTCCATATCTCCCCCCCTTTTTGATATCCAATTTTTCTTTTTTAAAACATTGGACACCCTCATCCCCTTACCTTTTTCTATGTTCACTTTAAACTTTTTCCCTTTACACACATTCCCAAACCACCACTAACCTTTGCAATTTTTCTTTGAATCCCCCATAAGCAAGTATCATAGAAAAAAAGAAACGTGTCAATTCCTTTTTAAATTTGATTCCCAAAATTTAATCCCCCCCCTCCCCCCGAAAAAACCCACCCATTTATTTCCCTTTACAACCCCACTTAAATATATTAAAAACCTGGGACATTACAATCCCTTTCTAAGACCTATTTTACCGGGAAAAGTAGTTCCCTTCTTCTCCAAAACCCAAACCTGACCCCTCCTATCCTCTTAAAAATTTTTTCAGCTTTTAATAACAAACACCTTTCCATATATTGAACATCTCCCACATTGCTCCTCTATCCACTCTATCTATGCCTTTTCTAAATCCATAAATGCAAAAAAAACTTCCCACCTTTATCAAAATACTTTTCAATATATGTCAATTAAACACTTGATTTTCACCCCCCTCCCCATCGAAACCTCCTTGCTCCCGAAAATCCTACATTTGTCTTCCCTCTAATTCTTAAAATTTAACCCTACCGTGCATTTTCCGGTTTTATCATAGCTTTTTCCCTTAAATTTTACAGTCTCTTTTGCCCTTTTTCCCCTTTATAAAAAGGGACTATACATGCCTCTCCGAAAACCCTAGGACCTTCCCCTCTTTCTACATTTATTAAAAAAAAAGTCCCAAAAAAACTCCAACATATACCCCCCCCCGTTTTTAACATTTCTGATATCCCCATCTTTCCCAGCTGCTTTCCCCTTTCATTTTACTTTAATGCCTCACGTCCCTCCCCCACACTTAATTCTCCTTTCTTCACCCCAAAAGATGGTAACCCCCCTGACCATCAGAATTACGCCCGTTTTTCCTTAAAACATTTAAAATTTCCCTCAAAATATTCTCCCCATCTACCCAATACCTCCTTCCCCCATCTACTAACTCCCCTACTCTGTTTTTAACTGACAAATCATATTTCCCCCTAGGCTTTTTAATTTGTTTAACTCACTCCAAAATTTTTTCTTTTTTTCTTTTAAAATTTCTTGACAGTGCCTCTCCCCTCATCACGCTCTCCTTTTGCACTCTCCACCACTCTCTTTACCTTTTTTTACTTCCATATACTTCTCTTCTTATCATTTCTTTTTTGTAAAAACCTCTCTAAGCTACCTTTTTCCCTTTTTTAAAATCACCCCCTTTAACTTCTCATTACCAATCACTCCTCTTTCCCCTGCCCCCCCTCCATAACCACAAATTTCTGCCCCACTTCAATACGCATTTTTAAAACTATTCCAACCCTTTAACCCCCCCACTACCATCTTTGCCTAGCCCCCCTTTTCCCCAATAGCCCCTTTTATCTCCCCCGAACTTCCTCCCCCCTTTAGTTTATCCCACTTTCACCTCCCTCTTACTTGTTGTTGCCCCCTTTCCCTTTTTCCCATTACCTCTTACTCTAACTGTAGCTACAGCAAATAATGACCCTTATATCTTTGCCCCTTTATAAACAGTACATCCGGGAGCCTACCCATCAACCTTTTATCCCCAAATAATAATCTAATAACTACTTTCATTACGTGCTACATCTACCTTGTATATTTATTTATCCTTTTTCAAAAATATTCCCCTGTCACACCCCAACAGATCGTAAAGCCCCCAAATACCATTGTCTCCATTACTCTTCAAAACACGCTCTGCACGCTGCGGGAATCCAAGCCCCTCCCCCAAAAAACCTCCTTACCCCTTCCTTTCCCAAACCTTTTTCGAGGAGCCCCCTACCCCCCCCTTCTGTCTCCTAATTTTTCAATGCCCCATGTCTTTCTATTTTGATTCATTCTCTCTAAATGCCCAAAACCACTCAAAAACCCCCTTTCACCCATGATAATATTTTTTATTAACCCCACACTTTCCCTAATTTCCACACCCCAAATTTTCTGCATAATATTTTACACACACACTGCACTTAGACAACATCCCATGCCCCCAACCGCCCCCTCGCTGCTGCATTCACAACCCAAGCTTCACACCCTATGAGAGTGTTGGTACTACTATCTTTCATACAACCCCCTTCTTTGCCTCCATAGATAACGTTTTTGACTCCACATATCCCTCGACGCACCACTCCCTTTTTTTCCTTTCATCAATTCTATGTTAACCTCATCCTTCAAAATCCATCCACCGAATGTCAACTCCCAAGTATCTAAAAACATTCACTTCTTCCATACCCCTCCCTCCCCCAATTTGATATCCAATTTTTTTTTATCAAAATCATTTGATACCTCATCACCTTATTTTTTCTTGTTCACTTTCAACTTTCTACCTTTACACACTTTCCAAAAATTTGTCCATAACCCTTTTGCAATTTTTCTTTAGAATCTCCATAAGCACAGTACACCAAAAGTAACGTGTCAATTCCCTTTTTGTTTTTGATTCCCCTAATTTAACCCCCCCCCCCTTTCCCAAAACACCCACTTTTACTTCTTTTAAAACCCCATCAAAAATTATTAAAAACCAAGGTGATATTATACCCCCCTGTCTAAACCTACTTTTACCGGGAAGTAGTCTCCCCTCTTCTACACACCCAAACCTGACCCTCACATCCTAAAAAAACTTTTTTTCAGCTTTTAGTAAACCACCTATTCCCATATACTTGAAACTCCCCACATGCCCCCCTATCCACTCTATCATATGCTTTTCTAAATCCTAAATGCAAAAAAAAACTTCCCTACCTTTATTAAATTGTTCACAATATCTTCAATGTAAACACTTATTACACTCCCCTCCCCACTCTGAAACCTCCTTGCTCACCCGCAACTTACATTTGTTTCCCTCAAATTCTTTAAATAAAAACCCTACCGTACACTTTTCCGGGAAATACTCAAAAACTTATTCCTCTATAATTTTTTACAATTCTTTTGTCCCCTTCCCTTTTATATAAAGGGGACTTACATGCTCTCTCCCAATTCCCTTGGTATCTCCCCTCTTTCATACATTTATTAAAAAAAAGTATCAACCACTCCAACATTTATCCCCCCCCCCCTTTTAACATTTTTGCATGACCCAAACAGTTCAGCTGCTTTACCCCCTTTCATTTTCGAATCCTCACGTACCTCCCAACATTACATTCTGCTCTTTTTTCCTCCTAAAAGATGGGTTTCCTCCCTGGCCAGTGCATGAAAATTTCCCCCCTCCCTTTTTTCCTCAAAATTTAAAGTTCCTCAAAATATTCTCGCCATCTAGTAAACCTCCCTCTCCCCATTTCAAAAATCCCCCCACTCTGTTTTTAACTGACAAATCCATATGCTCCCTAGGCTTTTTAACTTTTTTAAATCCCTCCCCAAAATTTTTTTTTATTTTCATTAAAAAATTTTTGACAGTCCCCTCCCCCTAAAACATTTTCTCTCCTTTTTTCACCCTCCCCTCCTCACCCTTTTTTTTACTCCCATATACTCGCTTTCTTTAACACTTTGCTTTGTAAAAACCTCTCATAAGCTACCTTTTTCTTTTTTCACACCCTTTTACTTCATCATTCCACAAAACACTCCTCTTTCCTCCCGCCCCCCCCCCCTATAACCACAAACTTCTGCCCCACATTCTAATACTGCATTTTTAAAACTTTCCAACCCTCTCAACCCATCCCCATACTAAATTTTGCACTACCCCCCTTTCTGCCAATAGTGCTTATATCTCACCCGAATTTCCTCCCCCTTATTTTTAACTTTTCCCTTCCTCCCGCTTGTTTTTGCCACCTTCCCTTTCCCATCTACCTCTTACTCTAACTGGCCCACAAAAAAATAAAGATCCATAAATCAGTTGCCCCTTATAAACATGTACATCCCGGGGTCAAACCCAAACCTTTTATCCCCAATCATAATCTAACAAAATACTTTCATTTCATGCTTCACAACCCTTTTTTATTTTATTTACCCCTTTTTTTTAAAAAATGATTACTTATTCTAAATCTCTTTTTACACATAGTCAATTAAAAACTCCCCAATTTCATTTTCCCCCCGGACCTACTACTCCCCCACAAAAATTTTTTCCCCCTTTACAATGAAATCCCCCCCACAAGTACTCCAACCCTTTGGGTTCAAAAAAAACCCCTGCATTCATAAATTTTTCCCAAAATCTCTCCTTCCTCTACACCTCTCTCTTCCCGGTGACATCATTTTTATAAACCCCCTTTTTAATCCAACCTTTATTTTACCCACTTAATCCTTAATTTAAATATTTATAGTCCCTCTTTCCTGCCCTATTTTCCTTCAACATTATTTTACTCCCCTTTTTTAGCTCTAAATCTATTTTAAACCCCTGACCCAATCCCCTTTTTTCCCCTCCACTGAAACTTCCTACCCCCCTTTAGCTTTGTTTCACTTAAAACCAGGACATCCGTTCTTCTTTATAATCCAGAACATCTTTTCTTATCTTTGCACAACATTCACACACATTTGACTTCCCACTTTGACAATTTTCTTCTTATTTTATTTGTAATCTTGAAGGAAAAAAGGGTTTCTAGCCCATTTTTCCCGGGATTTTTTGTTTACTTTTAAACACGCATGGCTTATGGGAAAAATTTTTATTCCCCTTCCACATGGTTTTAAAAAAGGGAAAATAATAAGACCAGAACTATTTAAATAAAAAAACAAAGAAAATCGTGAGTGGTAAAAAAACATGTAATGTATGTGTATGTACCTAAGTGTAGTAGAATAGCAAGACATACCGAAATTTTCATATTTTTGAGACAGAAAAAAAACACCAGCAATCCACCATCATGTAAACAAATTCGGTTTTGTTTTACATTCACTTGGGAGGCGGTATATCTCCCTAGGTGGTTGTGTCTACCAAATTTCTAATTAACCTTTCAGGGCAAGGGCCCAAATCGGAGTCACCAAAAACCGTGTCCAAGAATTTTTTAAAAAAAAAAAATTTTTTATTTTTCTTATGAAATTTTGGGGAGAGAATCTTTTTTTTGAAAGGTAAAAAAACAAAAAGTACGAAAATTTTGGGGGAAAATTGACGAAATTATGCTCTCGCGAATTTTTTTGGTGTCACGTATTTAGAATCGGGATTTTGCCCACTTTTACCCCCCTTTTAGGGGCCAATTCATTATTCCCAAAAACCAAATTTTTAGCTATTTTTCTGATTACTTCTATTCTATGATTTGGCACAAGAAATCGCCAAATAACTGTTTCAACTAAAAAATAAAGTGATCGGGAATTGTTTTTTTGGCCAAAATTTTCACAAAGTTCAAATATTCCAATTTCAAAATAGGGTCCAGAAAGAAAAATGTAGGCATTCCGGGGACTAAACTAACATTCCTCTTTCATTTAGTTATTTTTTTAGGGTTTACAAATAAATTCCCCCTTTTTATTTTTTTATAAAAATGAATTTTTTCACACCAAAAAAAGAAGATTTTTCGTTACAATACTGTAATAATTGTAAAACACACACCAATTTGGAATGATATTTAAACCCCCCAGCTGACGTTATTAGACGTGTGAGGTCGTTTGTTTACTCTTAATATCGGCAAAAATTTAACATTTTGCTACTTTTACCAGTTTCAACCTTTTCCCGTGCTAAAAACCAAACAAAATCACTCTATTCTGTAATATGTCTTCCCTTCATCAAATGAGACCAAAAAATCGCAAAACAACTATAAAAAATACAAAAAAAAACTCAAAGTTTGTTTTTTTAATCGAAAAATATGTTTATTTTTTTTTTTCATTTTACAGGTGCTGCAATCTGTTTTAGGGGGTGCACACATACCACATAAGTATTCTCTCTATCTAGGCCCCAAAAGTCCCCTCCCGTTTATCAAGTGAGTGAGCTCATGGCGGATCTACGGTTTGGACCCCGAACGTAAAAACCGTAGATCTATGGGACGGCCCTGAAAAGGGTTAATTTAGTGAAGTTTTAAAATTTTTGAAGAAATTATTTCTCTTAAATGCAAAGGGAATTTTTTTATGAAGGGATTTAAAGAAAATGGGTTTGCCCGACTTAAATTGGAGGGGGGGAAGGCAATCCTCCCCAAAAAAAAGGGTTTGGGTATTGCTGTTTGGAGGGGAAATTTTAAAAAGTCATACTGCCACCTTGGAAGACAGTGATGGTGTGAATGATGGTAAAAGTGTTTCTTTTTCAGGTCACCCTGCCTCAAAGGGGGCACGGCCCTGTGTTTAAATAACAAAAATCAATCATATAAGAAAATCAAAAACCAAACAATTCTGCTATGTCAGAAAGTGTAAGCATTAAAAAAGCATTACCCGCTATAACAAATACTAACACGATTTAATACCTGGGCGAGACCAGACAAATTTTTGTAACATTTTAAAACAAAAAGTTAGTAAAAAATCACTTTTGAAAGAAGCCGAAACACAAACATATTTACTTTAAATTTAAAGGAATTTTTATGCTAAAAACCCCATCTTTTTTTTTACCTGTTCATATCTGTTTTTTTGGAAAGTAAATGGTTTTTATCTTCCATTGGAAACAACCTTCAATACCAGGGACGGTGTAACATAATTACGGAACCTAAAATAAATAAAAGTATTATTATTATTTGTGGAAGTTGCAATGTTTTATAATGCCATTAAAATTTGCAGGGAAAATACATACAAAAATTTCAATGAAAAGAAACAAGGAACTTTTTATTTTACCAAAATTTTTTTTTTTTTTTTTACAAAAATTCCAATCATAAAGCTGCTACAATAAAAGAATGCCATTTAATTGGCAAGATTAACACACACCACAAGAAGGTTCATGATAGTGTGGCCAATCTCACAAAAGACTGGTTTCCTGTTGCGTGCAGACACAAGAGGACATGGATAGTAGCGAAACTCTGCACCCATGCGCAGCATTAAACGAAGTGGAAAAACCTGCAAACAAGATTTCCTTTGTTATTTCTTCTTTTAGAAAAGAGAGAAATTTAGAAAACTCAGTAAACTGCAGCAAAATTTATTACAAAGTTAAGAATTATGAAAAAGTTTGAAAATGCTTCATATTAAAGCATGGGAAAAAGGCAGATGATAAAAAATCAAATATGTGTAAACAGCAAGGAGGTGGTTGGAAACAGTGGAGATGTCCTATCTAAGGGCAATGTGTGATGTAAATATTATGCAGAGAATTTATAGTGTGGAAATTAGGAGGAGGTGTGGAGTTACTAAAAGTATTAGTCAGAGGGCTGAAGAGGGGTTGTTGAGGTGGTTTGGTCATTTGAAGAGAGTGGAGCAAAGTAGAATGACTTGAGAATGTATAAATCTGTAGGGAAAGGAAGGCAGGGTAGGGGTTGTCCTCAAAAAGGTTGGAGGGAGGGGGCAAAGGAGATTTTGTGGGTAAGGGGCTTGGATTTTCAGCAAGCATGCGTAAGTGTGCTAGAATGAATGGAGACGAATGGTTTTTGGGACCTGATGCGCTGTTGGAGTGTGAGCAAGGTAATATTTTGTGAAAGGATTCAGGGAAACCATTAGCTGGACTTGAGTCCTGGAAATGGGAAGTACAATGCCTGCACTTTAAAGGAGGGGTTTGGAATATTGGCAGTTTGGAGTGACTATCTAAACTGTCATATTTGGGCACCTCTGCAAAGACAGTGATTATGTATGAGTGATGGTGAAAGTGTTGACTGATAATTAAAGTTTTTTTTTTCTTTTTGGGTTTTTCTTTCTTTTGGGTCACCCTGCCTTGGTGGGAAATGGCCGACATGTTAAAAAAAAAAAAATGAGAAGTTTCCCTTGTAACTCTCAACATGGAGAAGTGGGCATAAACTTCCAATTATGTAAAAATGCACAGAAAGAAACACTTAGCACACTTTCATTTTTAACCCAAAATTTAGACAATATTTTGAAACAACCAGGACTTTCATCAGGTCACCACTGATAATGCCCTGAATCTCCAAACTGTGGATTAATAGTGAAGTATTCCAGCCATGGTATCATGACACTTATTCTTCAATAGGAAGTCGATTCCTCAAACAGAGAAGTAGAATGTGAGTAGCACAATCATTGGAAATTTAAAGATCATGTATAACAAATTAATTGAAGACAGGACACCAAAAGCATAACTTACACACTGTAACTATAACTGTTTTAAGTATTGGTAATTACAGTGGACTGTCAGTTAACACACAATTAAATGGCACAAGATCGTCTTAGCAAGACTGAGAATTTATAATGAGAAATAGAGCAAGGACGAAAAGGATTGGTACTGAGCACCATGAAGCATGTGAAAAGATTAATTTAAGTGCAAAGCCATTGTGGAGCTTCCTGTGGATTTTTTCCCTCTACCCCACTGGGCCTATGGGCGAGCCATTTTATTTGCTTTGATTGAAGGCAATGTACCTCTTTCCTCTATCCACACTTCCACCTATTGCCTTCTAGGAGCTTCATAATTGAAGAGTTTTTCATTCAAGTTCAGGCCTATTTATCACCGTTTCATCTCTAGATATTAACTGTAGCACCCAGAAGGAACACAGTACTGGTGATGTTGAAGGTGTCAAGAAAATTAAGCAGTATCCAAGATAATAGAGGTTTCAGACATGCATTCGGACAATACACTTATGACTAACACTGCCCACTTCGTTGGTCTTGGGTAATTATACATTTATACCATCAGAAATAATGAGTCTAAAACAGGATATTGTGTAATGTCTGGTGCAGATAGTGGTGATATAAAACATGGGAACTAATACCAACAAAGTGATTTAAAAAGACACATGAGCAAATAATACTCATCTACTTCAGCCCAGGAGACCCACATGAACCCTCTTCATACACTTCCAAGTCAGCAAGCAACATCAATTACAATATAAGGTGAGACAAAAGTTATAATTTCTCAAGTTTTACAACTTTAAAAATGTTTGGTTTTATGGAGGTCAGTGGAATGTAACACAAGTTTCCCACAAGTCTTCAAATTAGCTAGCGTTAATCCCTTAGCTGTGGCAAGTGGGCAAAAAAAATTCCCGGTGGTGTGGCAAGTTTGAAAAAAAAAAAAAAAAAATTCTTACAGTTCGACAGATTTTGCTCAATTAAGTAAGACTAAAAGGAGTCAAATCTGATAAAAACTTACGATTTTATGGCATGCTGTAGTTAGTAAAAATAATCACTTATTGGCAACAGCTGTGTAAAGTGCCAGTAATGTTTACATTTTGCAATACGTATATTGATACCAAGATATGATAGTTTTTTGTTTTTTTAACTGCTTTTAATGTTTAACACTATATATAATAGTTTCTTATGATATTAGGTGTGTTTCAAGGTGTTTTAACACTTCAAACATGGGGAAATGCTTTCCTGACATTGCTTCACTTGGAAAATATGCTATACATATGGCATATACAGGATATAATTGGTTTTTATTATTATTTTTTTTTTTACTCTTTGGTCTTCTAAGGCTATGTACAGAGAATACTTAAAATATTTCAATTATTTTAGAGAATTGTACTTATCAAAACATGGAAATTATTCACACTGTTTGACTTGACTGTGTTATCCTGGGTTAAATACACTTAAGTGTGATTTATGGCTGAATTCCACTGTATCATAAAAGTGTAATAAATTTGGACTGAATAAGTCATATTTTCTAGGTAATAGGAAGGTAGACAGCAACCGACCAAGAAGGTACTACCATCCTGCCAAGTGAGTGTGAAACGAAAGCCTGTAATTGTTTTACATGATAGTAGGAATGCTGGTGCCCTTTTTTCTGTCTCATAAACATGCAAGATTTCAGGTACGTCTTGCTACTACTACTTACACTTAGGTCACACTACACATACATGTACAAGCATATATATACACACCCCTCTGGGTTTTCTTCCATTTTTTTTTTCTAGTTCTTGTTTATTTCCTCTTATCTCCATGGGGAAGTGGAACAGAATTCTTCCTCCGTATGCCATGCGTATTGTAAGATGCAACTAAAATACTGGGAGTAAGGGGCTAGTAACCCCTTCTCCTGTATAAATTACTAAAAAAAAAGAGAAACTTTCATTTTTCTTTTAGGGCCACCCTGCCTCGGTGAGTTACGGCTGGTTTGTTGAAAAAAACAAAAAAAAAGTCATATTTGAGCTACTTGTGCACATTGTTTGCTGGAAGGGAAGCTGGTGGGGGAACAACAGCTCCTGGGTCCTTTGTTCACTTTTGCTAGTGAGACGTACTAGTACGGTGGACATACAGTCATCCCGAGTAGTTAACCAGAGTTGTGCTAAAGTCAAAAATATTTGGCAGGAAGCAGATTTATGGGTACAAAAAATTGTGTGTACTAGTATGTTGGACACAGTACCAGCACCTGTATACTAGTACACTGGACATAGTTAGAGGGTTAAACTAGATTACATGCCAATTTCCAAGAATGTAACCTGCACTCTAATCAAGTCTACCAAATAGGCTATAAAACCCACACAGCTACTTATTTTCTTTTCATACACACATGGTAATAATCCTTACTTTTTTTCAATGAACTGGCTGTATCCCACCGAGGCAGGGTGACCTAAAAAGAAAAACCAAAGTATTTCTTTTTAAATTTAGTAATTTATACAGGAGAAGGGGTTACTAGCCCCTTGCTCCCAGCAGTTCAGTCGCCTCTTACAACACGCATGGCTTAAGAGAAAAATTCTGTTCCACTTTCCAATTGACATAAAAGGAAATAAAGAAGAATAAGAACTATTAAGAAAATAGAAGAAAACCCAGGTGGGTGTGTAAATATGTGTGTGTCTATGCACGTGTAGTGTGACCTAAGTGTAAGTAGAAGTAGCAAGATATACCTATTATCCTGCATGTTTATCACACAAAAAAAAGACACCAGCAGTCCTACAGTCAAACCTCGGTTTTCGTATACCCTAGTTTTTATATGATTCGGTTTTCGACGACTTTTCTCGTCAAAATTTTGTCCTAGTTTTTGTACACCCACTCGGTTTTCATAGTTGAAAATTATCTGTACCGAACTCATCCACCTGCCCACGTGACTCAGCCACTAATTTCCCGGAATCAAGCGCCCACACAAAGCATCCCATGCGTTCGTGACTCTGCCTTTGTTTCTTGTTGAGTGAGCATCACCCCGTGTGTTCATCCAAAACATTTCAAAATAATCCATTGTTTTTTGTGCTTGTTTATTGAGTGCGACTGCTAAATAAGCCCCCATGGGGCCAAAGAAAGTTCCGAGTGCCAGCCCTTTGATAAAGAAAGCAAGAAACACGATAGAATTCAAGAAAGAACTCGTAGCAAAGTACGAAAGTGGCATACGTGTGGCCGATCTCATCAGGATGTACAGGAAGTCCACATCAACAATCAGTTCCATCCTGGCGAAGGAAAAAGAAATCAAGGAAGCTGATGTTGCCTTATAGATAAAGCTTGGCAGGGGAGTGACTTCCAGGATAATGAACTCCGCTTGGAGAAAATTGTGGCTAGAATGTGTCCTAGAGAAGGATTTTGAAGGTCTTGAGACTGACCCTAATGACCCTATGCCTGTTGTGGAATCTACTGTGTCTTTGGGAAAGTCCATGGGTTTGGATGTGAGTGACCAGGATGTGGAAGAGTTGGTGGATGGACAACAGGGAAGAGCTAACCAATGAAGAGCTGCAAGACCTTCAACTGGAACAGCAACAGATCGCAGCTGAGGAAACTGCTTCAGAGGAGGAAGAGAGAGGGGAGAATGTGCCTTTTTCAGTGATTAAGGACATGTGTGGAAAGTGGAATGAGTTGCAAAGTTTTGTGGAGAAATATCACCCTAATGAAGCTGTTGCAATCCGTGTCTGCAACACGTTCAATGACAATTCCTTGTCCTATTTTAGGCAAATCTTAAAGAGACGCCAGAAACAAACCTCTCTGAACAGATTTTTTGTGCGACGGGGGTCCAGTGACTCTCAAGCTGGTCCTAGTGCCAGTAAAAGACAAAGGAAAGTAACCCTGGATAGGGCCTTGATAACTGAATTCCTTATGGATGGGGATTCCCCTGCCAAACAATAACCTCTCCTCCCCCCCGTCCCCTCTCCCCTCCTCGCCATCTTCCAAATGCCAACAAGAGTCTTCAATAAAGGTAAATGTTAAATGTTCATTTATCCATTTCATTAGTCATTTATATTTATTTCATTGTTTTCTGTATGTAAAACTACAGTTATCTATAAAATGTATTTTTTGTTAATATTTTTGGGAGGGGTGTTAATGTTGCAGTTTAAAAACTGTAGTGTAAAGCACCCTTCTGGTAAGACAGTGATGGAGTGAATGATGGTGAAAGTTTTTCTTTTTCGGGCCACCCTGCCTTGGTGGGAATTGGCCAGTGTGATAATAAAAAAAAAATAAAAAAATTTTGGGTGTCTGGAATGGATTAATTGAATTTACATTATTTCTAATGGGAAATATTGCTTCAGTTTTTGTGTAATTCGGTTTTTGTCAGACTTTTATGAACGGATTAATCAGGAAAACTGTACCATCATGTAAAACAATTATAGTCAGCAAGTAATGTTTACTAAATAAATTTTACCTTTACATTCCACTCGAAAGACGTGTCCCAATTTTAACTTTTTTTTTTCATCACTACCCAAGGAAACAGAAATGAGAAGGAACACACCTTTGCCCATGGTGTCTCCCACTTCTGAATAAGGACGGCAAAAATATAAGGTGAGGGGGGGGGGAAAAACCCCCAATTGCGCAGGCAAATGGGAAAAGTGGGTCGGATTTTAAAAGAAGCAACCCCGTGCTTTCCCGGGACCCCAGAAATCCCCTTTTGGTTCGGTAAAAATTGTTTTGGCCTAAATTTTGACACAAGGTTTCCTGAAAGAGAGAAAGTTTTTTTAATTTTCTTGTTTTAAAAGGAAAAACCCTTTGAAAAACATTGCAAAGTAGGCAGTTGCTTAAATTTTAGGGAAATTTTAGGGGGCACAGTAATAATAAACTATTTATAAAAAAACAAAAAGGCCCCAATACCGTGGGTGGGGAATTTATAAAACCCAAAAAACCCGCACATAAAAGGGGAGAAGCTTAGGCGACCCTTTTTGGTCCCATTGGGCCCTTGACTAAAGTCACACTAAACAGAGGTGGGGGCAGAAAGGCTATATAAGGCGGAAAAAAGGTGGTAGTTTGGTGGTGGTGGGTTTGTGGTTTGGGAGTGGTAGTTTGGTAGTGGTAGTGGTTGTGGGGTGGTAGTGGGGAAATGGTAGTTTTGGGGGGGTGGTAGTAGTAGTAGTAGTAGTAGGGAGTAGTAGTTGTTTTGGGAGTTGTAGGGAGGGAGTTTGTAGTTTGTAGTAGTAGTAGTTGTAGTAGTGTAGTTGTAGTAGTTGTAGTTGTAGTAAATAGTAGTAGTATTTAGTAGTAGTAGTTGTAGTTTTAGTTAGTAGTAGTTGTGTAGTAGTAGTTTGTAGTAGTAGTAGTAGTAGTAGTAGTAGTAGTTGTAGTTGTAGTATAGTAGTGTATAGTTGTAGTAGTAGTAGTAGTAGTAGTAGTATTTGTAGTATTGTAGTAAATGTAGTAGTGTTTGTATTTTAAAAAATTGTTTATAATACCGAGAAGATGAAATTAAGACACATGCACAACACCCGGGGCCCTCCCCCTTGTAGACGCTTTTGCCAAACCCGCCGGGCCCCTGGATGGGGAAACGTCCACCCAAAAAAGACAAAAGACGCCGCACTTTTATGAAAAAGTCGTCGTAAGCTTCTCTTTTTTTTTTGTGCGGGGTTATTTTTTGTAAAAAAATATTCAGGGAAAATATGTAAGGAAAAAAAGTTCAGTAGTAGGGAAAAAAAAAAAAAGGATAGAACCCATTTTATAATGTTAAAAACAACTGCTGCATTTGTAAATTTACTTGTTTAATTCAAGGGCCCCTTAGGGCATAGGATTTGAATGGGGAGGGGGGAAAGTGAAAAAGAGTTTTCTACTTTTGTTTCTTTGGGCTTGGGAATGTTTTGCCCCTGAATTTTTGCTGTAATCAATGGCCCTTTTGGTTTGTTGTTTTTAGTAATACTAAAGAAAAAAAGGAAAAATGTTTTATAAAAGGATCCCTAAAATTTAAATTGTTTCCCACTTTTTTAACCGGCTGTCTCCCACGAGGGTTTGGTGACCCGACCCCCAAAAAAAAAAACACTTTCATCATACACATTTCAATCACTGTCTTAAAGAAGTGCATGCGAACATCACATTTCAAATGGGCCCCTTTAAAACCCGAACTCTCTCACACCTTTTTAGAGTGTAGGCCCCTGTACTTTTTACCCCAGGACTCAAGTCCCAATAAGTGGTTTCCCCCGGGAAACCCCTTTAAAAAATGTTACCCCGGCTCACACTCCCAAAAGATATCAAATCATAAAAATACTTTCCTCCATTCGTCCCATTTAACAGGCTCACATAAAAACCCTTTTTCATGTCCCCCCCCCTTTGTACTCAAAATTCCTTTTCCCCCTCCCCCCCAAAAATTTCCCAGGCAAAAAACCCACCCTTTCCCCTCCCCGATTTTAAGCCCTTTATAATTTTTCCTATTTTTCCCTTCCCTCCTCTCTAAATCCAAACAACGTCAACAAACCCCCCCTCAGCCCCATTTTTAAAAATACTTTTGCTAACTCCACACCTCCTTAAACTCCCAAAAATCTGCATAATTTCCCCACCAAAAATTCCCTCAAACCCCCTGACATCTCCCCTGCCTTTCCAGCCTCCTCTGCTGCAAAAATACAAAAAAACCCTGTCTACACCCAAAACAAAAAAACATTAGTACCACTATTCTCTGGCACATTTTCCCTTTTGCCTTCATGGATAAAGTTCTTTGTCTCCACAAATGTCTCAATGAACCACCCATCTTCTTTCTCCTTTATCTCTCACAGAACCATCTGCTGAAAAGTCCACTCACACATATCTGAACACATTTACTTCCTCCATACTCCCTCCCTCCAATCTAATATCCAATCTCCTTCCTTAGCTCTAATTCTCTCAGACACACTTGATCTAATCCCATTTACACCTCCCCACTGAAATTCTCCTACCCCCATTAGCTTTGTTTCACTTAGAGCTGGACATATGGCGTCTTTTCATTCAAAACATTCATAATCAATTATTTCGTCATATCCATACTACACCCACACACATTTAAACACCCCACCTTGAAAATTTTCTCCACTGCCCTTTTAATAATTTATACAGGAGAAGGGGTTACCAGCTCCTTACTCCTGGGATTTTAGTCACTTTTTACTACACACAGCTTACAGTGGAAGAAATCTCATCCACTTCCATATAGAGATGAAAGAAAACACTACAAGAACAAGAACTATTAAGAGAAATTATAAGAAAACTCAAATGAGTGTGTATATACACACATACAACTGCACATGTAGTATAAGTGGCAAGATGTACCTGTCATTAAATAACAAAAAGACACAATACCATAACTGGAATAATACACAAATAACCCACACATAGGAGAGAGAAACTTACAACATCGTTTCGGCCCGACTTGTACCATTTACAAAGTCACACTGACTTTGTAAATGGTCCAAGTCGGACCAAAACGTCGTTACAAGCTCCTCTCTCCTATGTGCGGATTATTTGTGTATTGTACCTGTCATTTTACGTGTTTATGAGACAAAGAAAAAACACTGGCAATCCTGCCACTGTGTAAATCAAATACGTTTCCATTTCAGAGTCATTTGGCAGACAATAGTACTTCCCCGGATGGTTGCTGTCTACCAACCTACTACCTTGAAAAAAAAAAGATTCCTGACAAATGAGCTTGATCTGATGTAACTGGTCAACAATACCAGCTGTCCAACCTCACTGTCATGCTCAAAACCTTCCTATCTTACTGTACAGTATATCTATTAATACAGTCTAACATAAGGAAAAATTAAGAATAATTAATAGTGTGAGAAACCCAACATAGATAAAAGAATAATATTTATTCACAAGTTTACACTACACTATATTTTGGTAATGTATTTTTGGATAAAGAATTGTTTGCTGGTTAGCCCACACACTATGTGCAAAAATAACTTGGAATGTAAAAATTATATAACCAAACACTAATTCCTGACTTTAAAGGCACATTTTAAACACAGCACATAAATTTTTACACAAAATGAAACTATGTTGTATTACATATACAATCTTATAAACCCCCAAAAAAAAGCCTAGCCTTTTTACACGTAAAAAAATTGACTTGAACACAGTATACTTGGCAAATTAATGTGTGCAACAAAAAATAAACAACTCTGTTCTTTGCTTTTTATTATGTCACAGTTCACTTCCGCTCTTATCCATCATATTCAATTTGCTATGGGAAATCATTTTTTTTTTTTCCCCCCTAAAGGGGCGGGCCCTTTCCATTAAAATCCTTTTCACTCAATAAAAACACATGGAAAATGCCTCACCAGGGTGTTAACCCCATTGATGATCTGCTGTACATTTAATTTTAAGAAAATATGTATATAAAAATGTAGACTTTAACCAAAAAAAACTAGGACCTTGATTAGCTTGATCCCCGATTAAAAAGGTGTGGAAAGGAAGGCAAATATGTCTCTGGGAGGGTGGGTTTCACCAGGCGATACCTCCAGGAGGACCACCATCTCCTCCTGGCCCACTGTACACAAGCCACGGGTTGCCACATTCCACACTTCCACGCCCACACAACACTCCACTGAATTAAAAAGAAATTTGTATAAAGACACAGTAAAATTGGGACCAAGATGATATACAACCCTAACAGAGAGCACAAAGGAACCCACATGCAGAAAATCAACCAAATGATAAGCTCTGGATATTTCGGCCTACCACTTCTGTTGGAGATAACTTCAGACAGATCAGAATCCAGAGTACTTAACCTCCAATTTCTTATGGCTTACTTGCTCCATATAAACCATGAAGTAGCAGCAAGAGAAAAGGTAGAATGAAAAAACTGAGAAAATGCAATGAGAATAATGCATAGGGGTAATTTTATGTCAAATGGACCAGGGGTTCACACCTGACCCTATCCAATTTCAATAAAATTTTACATGAAGGATGGAATATATGGCTGGAATATGGGGAAAGTTTTAGTTCATGATATGCAACAGTAGTAATGCTATGGGCCTCAGAGTAGAGGCCTGTGAAAATTTCACTAACCCTCAGCACAATCACCAATGTTCAGGTTACTGCTATGGCAGATCAAGAAGAGTAAAATTTGTGTAAGTATACATGCCTATACAACTTTTGGAGTTGATTTCAAATATCGCAGTCCTAAAACTTACATTTTTTTATTTTTTTCTTCACAGTATGAAGCCACACTAGGAAAACAAATCTGTCAAGAAAAATTGAATCTTGAATTCAGCTACCTATATCTATACAGGAAAACATTATTAAAGTATGACATTACTGTAGCCAGCTACCCAAGTGGACATAATAACAATCCTAAAATATCAGACTCCAAACGTTTTTAGTTCCTATGTAATTGTACCTAAATATGCCCTCACAGATCTCATGGTGAATTTTAGGCCATTTTTGAACACCAATAGCAAAAAAGAAGCACAACCAATTTTCTATCAATTGAATACAAGAAACTGCCCATTCAACTCTTTCAACTACTTAATAAAGTTATCAGAAATTGGAAATTTGGCTAATTTCATACAAGATTCAAGAAATGTCAATTTCAAAATAGGGTCCAAAATAAACAATGCAGAAATTCCTGGCACTAAAAATAACATTTAATCTGTTCATTGGTTACGTACGTGGGCCTCCAATATTGTACATGAATTCCATTTAGAATTTTTAATTACACAAAAAAATAGAAAAGCATATTAGACTGGACAGATGGTCACGCATTTGTGTACTCTGGAATATCAGCAAAAATTGGACATTTCTGCTAATTTGAGCTCAATTTCAAGCTTCTTTCAGTCTTGAAACCAATCAAAATCATCTCTATTTCTGTAATATATCTTCCATTCTATCAAATAAGACCAAGAAACCAAGAACACAACCATAAAAACCATATGACAATACACCACAAAGTCGCCATTTTAAACCAAAAACACAATCACAGTTTTTTCCCATTATGCACTGAATGTTGCAGGATTTTTTATGTATAGTGCACACTTACTGCATAGGCCTATTCTCTCATCTCTAGGCTTAAATTTACCACTTAAAGCTTATTTGAACGAGCTGAGCACATGGCACAGAACTATGGGACCGACCCTGGCTTTAAAGCCATAGCACTAGGGGACCAACACTTAAAGGGTTAATATGGCATGGCATTAGTGAATCCCTGGGGTTTGCCATGCTGTTTGCTCTAGCTGGTGCTCAACTGAACTGGTGCTCTCAAAAGGTACTGAATGATCCCAGATCATTCCGTGTTAGGAACCCATTCTATACCGCCTAGGCCTATCAGGCCTCTGGTGCCATATCTGAAGGCAGGAAAAATAGTGCACTGATCAACATCATGAGTGTTAGCAGTAAAACATGGAACAACGTTTGGACAGTTAATGAGTTAAAACACTTGAAATTTTGGAAAGTTTCCAGACGTAATCAATAGAAGGGGAGCTCACGGAGGATGTAAACAGAGCAGTGCACGGACACCGTAATAGCAAATCAGGGAGCCGTATAAACAAATTTTTGGTTGTAATTTGAAATGTCCGTATTAGCAAATCACCATAAAGTGAAGCATCATAAAGTGGGGCCCTCCCGTAGTATTCTTTTGTAACATAATAACGTAGTACTTACATTTAACCATTTTGACTAGGACGGTGAGGTTCTTATGAACAGCAAAGACAACCGGCGGCCCATCTCCTCTCATCTGTTGCTCCAGCTTGCTGCTGTCTGGGTTGTCCTCAAACACATACTCTGCAAAGCAACAAAACTTATTAATGGCCAGTATCTCTATTGCACTAAACTCAATACTATATTAAAGACCGAGTACTACACATTTTTAGCCAATATAAAAAACATAGCTCTTTAAGATTTGTAATATTCACTTATAGTAAGAGCTCTGAAGAAATTCTATGAATAAACTATCAACCAGTAATTATGAGAAGCATAATTTTTTAATATTCCTCTATTAGAAAATTTTTGTTTACTTCTTTGCTTATACAGTCCACCTTTTCTTAGACTTATTAAAATTGTTTCTTTTTTTTAGTAGGATTCCAGCCATCCTTCCACTGACGGTATAGGGTAACCCAGCAAAGAAAAAAAAAAACACTGTCAATCGTCAAAAATGTCTTGCCATAAGTTCACGACTTTACCAGTCATATGACCCTCCAACACATCCCCACCCCTCCTTCAGATGCAGGCACTATACTTCCACCCTCCAGGAATCTAGGATGGCTAACTGGTTTTCCCCTATTTTCCTTTCATGTTAACTTCACTTCACCACTCCAACAGCACATTAGAATCATAAAAACCACTTGCCCTCACTCACTCCTATCTTTCCACACTCACACAAACCTTTTTGGTGTCCAAGCCCCTAGCACTCACGCCTTTACACCTTCCTCTCCAAACTCTACCCTCCTTCCCAGATTTATACCCCTTCATAGTTCAACTATTTGTCTCCATCCTCCTAATCCACCACATCATATTCTCCTATGCACCTTTTACATACCTGTGTCACATTCATCAGACCACAATAAGTTATCACTCTTATTATGTCCATATCTTAGACACCTCATCCCACTTTATGGCCGAACCTAACAGAAAAAACATCAAGTTTCTACACACGACATGTTACATCTACAATACATACAATACTCCTTATTTACAACCATCTCAATATTGCCACACATCTTCCTAAAAGAGCTTACTGACACTTCCTGTAATTACCTGTTTACAGATCTATGATTTTCCTATGGTGTCCTACCTTCTTAAATTTATTTATACTTTCTTTTCCAGTTGTTTTAACAATATCTACCACTATGCAGAACAAGCCACATGGGGATGGAAATCTTAAGCTCAACATCTTTTGCACTCTTGTGCATCATCAGGAGCTATGCAATGTTGCAAGACAGCAACAGATAAAAAGGGAAACCCTCTGAGGTAAGGAAGAACGTATCAGTGGTAACCATGACACGGGTTACCACTGATACATTTTGCCTTGCCTCAGAGAATTTCCCCTCTATCTGTTGCTGTCTTGCAATATTACATAGCTCCTGACAAAGCAAGAAAAGGGTGTGGAAAATCTAGTGCTTAAGATTTCCATTCCCATGTGGCTTGTTCTGCATTGTTAAGATTGCCTGTTTGCAACTATATTGCATCTACCACTATATTTAAAAACAAAATATTTTATTTGTTTTTCTTCATTTTTTTTAAATTGTGACTTATTGTTTTTTCTGTTGCTGTTTCAAACTAAATTTCATGTATTTTCCATATCCTTTATAAATTACTGTTGGTATCATGTCATTCTCTCGCCTACTATTTTCAACAAGGCCTACAAATTGAGATCCTCTTCAGAATCTGATATAAAGAGGGGCCTCAGATGTAGGTCATAATTTACATTACGTACTATTCTTTATATTCCATTTTAGTGTTCCTATGTAGGTTCAATAATACCACTCACCAGTTTTCTCTTCCATTTTTTTGTCCATTATTCTCCCTATAGGGCCATTTTCTAATCTTTCATTGTTCTTAAATTAGGTCTACATTTATTCCCAAGAAATTTTGTTACACTTCAGGGCTTTTCCTATGGCCTGCTTTTCATTCGAAGTGATGTATTAAAATGAATCAGCCAAATCATTCAGTGGCCACTTTTTCCTACATGGAGTCCATCTTCCTTCAATTAAACATTTTACATTTAGTGAGGCCTATTGAGGCTCCTAACACGTGAGTGTGTGCTGTGACTAGGAAAATCTTCAATTCATATACCATGCAGCACAAAACAGACAGTTCTCATTCTCACAGAGATATTGTAATGCATAATTCTCCTCCCCAAATAAATAAAATCATATTTTATGGAACAATATTTTAAAGCACATTCATAAACATTGCTAAATATACTTATTAAACAGCAGGTGTGTTGCATTTTTTATTTTGAATATTTGAAGCAGTGTGAGGTGGTGAAAGCAAAAGTATTGCCCATCATCTCCATTGTAACATTAACACGACTCTGAACGTCTTCATTGAGCAATACAGATGTAGCAAACCCTGCTGGAAATTTCTTCCTCATCCATTTCCATACATATTTGTAGATATGCCTCAAAATGTGATAATAGCAATTACCACACCATATGCTAGTTATAGACAGATGGCATAAAGAGAGAGAGAGAAAGAAAGAGAAAAAGCAACTCATGTAAGCACATGGCCAAACACTCATGGGGCTGAGGTATAGTGAAGAAAATGAATGGAAATTTGGGAATGCAGGACAAAATGCATACAAGAAGTGACTTTCTATGTAAGATTCATCAGTAAAAGAGTTTAATGACTGCAAGAGAACATAATCACTGATAGAATCCAACTGTATTATGGAGTTCAAGTTTTTGTATACAAATACAAGGAAAAAAACAGGGAAACCAACTGTATCCTCTGATATTCTACTATAGAACAAATATTATTTACTGATTTAAAATGACAGAGAGATGGGTTAAAACGGCTTAGTGGGCTATGGGCTCGAGAACAGTAAAATTGACTCGAGGGGTTAGAGGCACTGTACTGTAACAGCAATAAGAGATTTGTGTGTAGTGCAGTTTTGTATGTTGTGAGTAGTGTGTGTTAGTTGGCAGAGCAGATTGTAAAACATTAATAGCAGGAGTGACAGTTCCATGGAGGCTGGGATGCTGGTGTTAAAGTATGCAGTAATTATAATCATGTGGCTTGAGCTTCAATTTAGACGAGGGTCCAGTTGAGATTTCTCGTTTGAGGTGGGGCTTATCAAAGTTGGTTTCTGGTTATCTCCCTTTGAGATATCTCACCATGACTTTCTCTCTCTACAGGCAGGGAAGTGGAAGGAATGTAATGTAAGAGCCATATGAGGAAAGTAGACAGGACAGAGATATTGGTGGCCACCAAAGGAAAGAAGGGTTGTGAAAGACTAACTGGCTATAGGGATGGAAGAGCCTGTAAAGGTAGAAATGACTGGCTAGTGTCCGGGAAGCCTTGGGAAAAAGTGAGAGGGCTCGTGAATGTCTGCATAGATGCAGAACTAGAAGTTTTAGGTGGTTGGTCAGAGAATGTAGTTTGAGGAGAGGGATGTGTTGTTGTGAGGTCTCAAAGCATGAACATTCTGGGGTTGTGGTTAATGTGTTGAAGGGACTGGTGAAAAAGCTCTCTGTGTGGTTTTAGGAGGGAAGGCAGTGAAAAAAGATGGTATGGGTAGGACATGGGTGTGTTGAAAGAAACAAATTTGTTGGATGTCAGATTAAGTGTATAGGGAACACTACTGGGTGTGGTGTCAGCAATCTGGATTGGAGGTAACATTTTTGATTATTATAGTCATTAAGACAGCAGCTTAAGCCACAAGGGCTATACAGCGCTTGCTGGTTAGGGATGGAAGCGTGGGTATTGGGATTGGCAGAAGGGAGAGGGTGATCAGTTGGTTACAGAAAACAGAGGGGCAGGGGGATAGTTTTTGGGGGAGGGGGGGTAGCAAGAGATTGAAGTAGAATGGGCTGTAATTGTTAGCAGATTGTGGATAGTCAGTCAGTTGTTGTCAAAAATGGCATTGAAGAGAGTCTGGATGTATGGGTTGGTACCTTCAGCGAGAAGGTTGGTTTATAAGTGTGTGCAGCAGAGCGAAGACGGCGAAGGAGCGGCAATTCGGCGTGCTCGTTGATAATGTGGGCAGTCACAAACTGAAACGTGGCTTGGACTGTTAATGGAACTTGGCAATTCTCACAGAGAGGAGCAGGGCGCCTCTCCATGAGATACCATGAGTAGACGAGTATGGCCAATTGCGAAGACGGGAGAGTAGTCTCCCAACCTCGACACTGGTGTTAAGAAGACGGCCAGTAACCTATACTAGGTTTAATTGTTTAAGTTTGTTTGCGAGCTTAGTATAGAGCCAACGCTGTTGCCAACGGGTGTGAAGTTAGGGAAGATATTGCAGCAAAATAGTCCGTAAATGAATACTCTACAATGAAACTGGATAGGTCATGTACTGCTGACGCGCAGCTCGTGTTCTGCTGTTCATTGGCCCTGTACGTCAAACATGAACAGAGAGACCCAACAAAACACGCATTTTTTTTGCTTGTAAAAGAGGGAGTAGCCAAAGTTGGAGACGGAGGACTCAAGGGGTGAGGTGTATCATTTTCTGTATAGCCTGTATAATGCAAATAAGGAGGCTCGTGGACACAACCACAAATGAGGATCAGGCATAGATGCATTACGGAATATGTGCTTGTTAAGGAGGGCATACAATTCAGCAGTATATCTAGCCGAAGATATTAAATGCCCTTGTACGGACGCTGTTTTTTTTTCTGGAAACACTGCTGAACGAATTCTATGACGTCTGAAGACTTTCTTAGAGCCATCTGTGTACACAGCATAGGCATGGAATGAGAGTGAAAAGGTGGCAAGAAAATGAGAGCGGGATGCGACATAGACAGTTGGGCTTCGGAGCAGGGAGAGAGAAAGAACAGACCTCAAACAGTGAACTTCACAGGGGGGGGGGTAGGGTAAATGTGAGAGGCTACAATACATGTAATAGAAAAGTGTAATTGAAGAGAAGACAGAGCGAAATGAAGGCGAAGAGAGAAGGGACGGAGTTAACACGGGCGGCAACAATAAAAGAATGTCTATCTAATACGTGATCATTCTATAAATGGAAGGATTTGGGAGATCATGAGAGGGACATTGTAGCCGAAGCAATGGGCAATCACGGCGTTCAGGACAAGGATGGAACATTGCTTCTGCATAGAGCG